AAATTAGGTTCTTGATAAAAATAGTCTATTTCTGCAGTGATTTAATAAAAATGTTTTAGAATTATTTTCTCTTTTTCTGTTACTTTATTTCACAAAATTCTAAATAAACCAGCTGATGATCAGCATTTATATCTTGTCTGAATCTAAATTCAAGCCTTTTGTTTTGAGCATTTATCAAATGTGTTATGTGTTTATTAAAAATAATAATCCTTCTTCTCCTTCTTTTCAGCATCACTTCCTCAGGTTCACAGGTTTCTGCTCCACCGCAGTGTTAGGTTTGTTTTGTTTCAGACAGTTTGTGAGTATTTTAAACTCTTTTGCAGTATTCATATTGAACACCATGATACTGTAAAACTGACTAAATTTAGATATACTCAATGCAGACTTAATAAAAAACCAACAAATTCAAGAGACATTTACTTTAATGTAATTTACTGGAATGAAACTCTGACATAAAAAATCAGTCCACCAAAAGTTTTCATTGTATGAGAGAAAATGTGAGACAATTCAAGTTACTTCCCTACCTTAAAAAAAAGTATTTTTCTGATTAAATCCAGCACATTAATTTGCTATCACAGTGTTCTTATTCACATCAGCAGACTCTCCTTTCTGTTTGTGGTTAAATGTTTCTCATTTCAATGTTTAAAGAGCAAATAAATAAGGAAAGGTGAARAACGTAATGTTTGAAAAGTTGCACAGTTTCATTCTACTGGGAGATGTTCAACACAAAGTATATGATGCAAACATATAAAGATAATTAGAGAGGAGGAGGAGAGCAGCGCTCACTTACACGGTCAGGTTATAAAACCAGCAGCCTGCAGCCAACATCCCTCCGTCACTCTGCCAGCGCCACTATTTAGTGACACGTCAGGATTTTCCCCTCATTTTAAAAAAATCCTATAAAACAGAAGAGAAAGAAGTTTAGCAAAGAAAGACACACAGAAACACATGAAAACAATCTGTCTCCTAAAGAGACACTTTGGACATTTTGAAGTGGTGTTYCTCGTAAATTAAATCCTTTTTGCTTTATGTAAGAAAGTTGTGGAGCAGGTAGAACGATCCTTTACTCTGGCTTAAAGTCACTTCAGAGTATATTTTTGTCTGATTAGACTGATGAGGACATTTGGTCTCAATGTGGACAAGACCAGAGTGGGTTGCTGCAATTTTCAAATGACTTCARTCAGCAGCAGCTTCTGCAGCACTTCTGATTAATATAACATTTTCTCTAAAATAACTACAATGAGGGTTTCGGTGCACAAGCCTAAATAATGTTTGTTTTCATGAACCACTATAGTTCTTTATTTTATTTTATTTATTTATTTTTCTTGGAGACATTAAGACATATTGATTATTTTGAAACCATAAAAAAGTAAATTTTCTCCAAAGAAACAGGTCCAACTATAAGTCCTCCATTCTTTTTCCCTGAAGCTATTTTAATACTCCAACAAACATTTTATATGAAYGGTGGTGCAGTGGTCAGAGCTGTTGACTTCCAGCTAACAGGTTGCAGGTTTTAAACCTAGCTGGGGTCTATCTGTGTGGAGTTTGCATGTTTCCCACTGAAAAAAATACA